TCCGTCTCAAAAAAAAAAAATATTACTAGATTGCACACAAATCTCCTTGGACCCACCCATGACATGAAATGGGCCTTGCTTTAATGCTTCAATTGCCCATTTACACATTTTAAGGTCCTGCTAAACTGTCCCCAAGCTCTTGGTGTGATAGTCACCTTATGTCCCACTTTAAAACAACCCAGAACTCATCTAAATGCTCCCTTCCGGCCTAATACAATGTTCTATAGTCCTCCTGTGACACCTCTTGGTCCATTAGAATGGTCTCAGGACACCACTACCATGCTGGCACCCTACAACACTCCCTTCCTCTGGACCCCATTGCCCAACCACTGTGCCTACAGCACCCATGGTCTTGCAGGACCATTGCCAGAGCCTATAGCACACGCCTGGAGCTCCAATCATCTCAGGTCCCACCCCCATCCTTCTTGGATCCCCCTGATTGTATACTGGGACCCAGCTGTAACAGCCTTTAGGAGCCCACGCTAATGTCACACAGAGTTGGCCACCCCATCCCTAGGATTTTGCTAAATAAGAACTGGGTCCTGGGTGGCGCCTGTGGCTCAAAGGAGTAGGGTGCCTGCCCCATATGCTGGAGGTGGGTTCAAACCCAGCCCTAGCCAAAAATTGCAAAAAAATAATAAGAAGAAGAAGAACTGAGTCCTGGGTCGCACCTGTGGCTCAGTGGGTAGGACACCGGCCCCATATAACGAGGGTGGCAGGTTTGAACCCGGCCCTGGCCAAACTGCAATAAAAAAAATAGCTGGACATTATGGCAGGTGCCTGTAGTCCCAGCTGTTCAGGAGGCTGAGGCAAGAGAATGGCCTAAGCTCCCAGGAGTTGGAGGTTGCTGTGAGCTGTGACGTCACAGCCTCTACTGAGGGTGATAGAGTGAGATTCTGTCTCAATAAAAAGAACTGAGTCCTAGGCCCGTGTGCAGCAGCTCATGCTTGTAATCCTAGCTCTTTGGGAGGCTGAGGCCAGTGGATTGCTTGAGCTCAAGAGTTTGAGATCAGCTGGAGCAAAAAGCAAGACTAAAAATAGAAAAACTGAGGCAAGAGGACCAATTGAGTGGAGGACCACCGAGTTGGAGGTTGCTGTGAGCTATGACATTACAGCACTCTATCCAGGATGACAGCTTGAGACTCTGTCTCAAACAAACAAACAAACAAAAAAACACAGGGTGGCACCTGTAGCTCACTGGGTAGGGCACTGGCCATATACACGAAAGCTGGAGGGTTTGAACCCAGCCCAGGCCTGCTAAACAACAATGATGACCCTAACAACAACAAAAGAAAACAGCCAGATGTGGCAAGCACCTGTAGTCCCAGCTACTTGGGAGACTGAGGCAAGAGAATCGCTTAAGCCCAAGAGTTTGAGGTTGCTGTGATCTGTGATGCCATGGCACTCTACCCAGGGTGACAGCTTGAGACTCTGTCTTAACAAAATAAATAAATAAATAAAAATAAAAAATAGGCTCAATGCCTGTGGCTCAAGGGGCTAAGGTGCCAGCCACGTACATCTGAGCTGGTGGGTTTGAATCCAGCCTGGGCCTGCCAAACAACAATGATGGCTGCAACCAAAAAAGTAGCCAGGCATTGTGGCTGGTGCCTGTAGTCCCAGCTACTTGGGAGGCGGAGGTGGGAGACTCACTTGAGCCCAGGAGTTGGAGGTTGCTG